CCTCCGAAAGTTCAACTCCAACGAAGCGAGGAAGCGTCGGCAAGGCAACGCGTACGCGGACCACAGCACGCACAACCCCCGCTAAGAAGGCTTCGGCGGACCTCAGTTCTCCCTCGGCTCCAAGGACACGCACATCACTTCGTTCTTCTCGACGAACTGCTGCTGCTGCTGCTGCTGCTGCTGCTGCTGCTGTTGCGAAGGAGAATACCCAGAGCAAGCGCAGCGCAGCAGCACAGGCTGCCCCTTCCAAGCGTGCAAAGACCGCCACCAGTCGTAGCAGTCGGACGGGCGCCGAGGAAGCACTGTTGCAGGACATGGCAGCTGCTGGCATCACACAACGTCAGCCATCGTCGTCTGCACCAGCATCTGGGCGAGCCACGCCCCGGCTCACGCGACGGGTGAAGCCAAGTGCAAAGGTGCTGGCCAATCAAGAGCAAGAGTTGGAAGCTGCCACGAGCAAGACGCAACACACCAAGCGCCCGAAAACAGGAACCGCCAAGCGAAGTGCAAGCGCCACCCTGCCCACGGGCAACGTGTTTGAAACTGACTTGCGTTCCTCAAAAACAACGCCGATCAAGCACGAGCAAACGGCAACAAAGGATCTTGGGAGCGCCGAATGGGCTGCAGAGGTCGTGGCAGGGCCACCATCGCCTCCGCCCCTGAATGAGGAAGGCGAGCCCGTCGTGCTGGCCCTGGGGCCGTCAAAGCCGCTTTCAAAACAGCTGCTGAACCGCTTGCGTGCATACCCGGAATTTTCGCCATCCACATCGCGTGGGCACTCGCCCCCACCATCTCAGAAGCGCGGGCCAAAGAGCAAGGCTACGTCCGGCAGGTCCACGCCAAGGAAGGCGGCCACCAAAGCAGGAAAGCGCGCCACAACGGCGCATGCAGCCAAACCATCATCCCCAACATCCCCGTCATCGTCAGCATCGCCCTCCTCGCGTCGTGCACAGGGTAAGCAGGCGTCCAAGCCCGGAACACCCTCGCCGAAAACCAGCTCGCCACTGGTGGTGGCCGCCAGCTCCCAAGGCTCCGAACAACGCGCTTGGAAGATGTGTCCCAAGTGCAACAGAAAGCACTGGAACACGGATCCGTGCTCGCTCATGGACGCGCAAGCACAAGGGGCGGGCAGCGACCCGTCGAGCACCCAAGAGAATGTGGCCACAATGAGGCGCAAGTGGAGTGGCACAGCCACGCAATCGCTGCTGGAGATTCTCGAATCGCAACAGCAGGCCGACATGTTGGCCGCTGGATCATCGTCGCATGCACGGACGAAAGTGAAGCTTTCCCCGCGACCGCCACTGCCAACTTCCACGCAACCTCGTACGTGTGTAACTGCGTGTGTTTGTGTTTGCACTTCAGTAATTGTGAGTAAAAGTTGTCTTCGTTGGGGTGTGCTTCCGGGTTGCTGTTTGCTTTGCTGGTCGTGATGATGGTTGTTGGAGGCTGTGATCTTTGCACGCTGAAGACGCCACGTGCGTGTGCCACATTTGTGTGTGTGTGTGGGGCGGGGGCGCTGTTGCCCCGAAAAAATTGCCTGTCGAGTCATTTCAAATCAACTTTGGTCACGTGTGACATGACGGTTCTTCACACGATTCTGGCTGCAATGATTGACCACGTGCGCACGATGCAAATTTTGGACACCAGTGCCCACAGAAACGCAGAAGACCCGCGTCGATCGTGTGTACAGGATCATCGGCCGGAAGGTATGTCTGCGATGACATGAGCTATGATGGTGATGGCACACGAGCGTAGGCGTGCAAGACTGAGGCTCAGGGTGCCATCGTGTCGTTAGGGAGAGGTTTGTGGAGATTTCGATGAACTTTCGTGTGTCAAATTCCCCTCTGACAAGCACTGAGCATGTGTGCGTGTGTATGTGTGTGTATGTGTGTGTATGTGTGTGTTTCATGTGCGGAAACATGCTGCCCATGGACTGGTGCTTGCAGCATGATGTCACGTCCGGTGCGGATGGTCGGTACGGCATCACGGGTCACGCAACCAAGGTGAGGAACATGCACTTGTTGCAGCCCGAAAGGGATGTGTTCTGTGGAACACAGCACAGCAACGTGTGCACATTCGGTGTGCACATCTGACGTCGTCACATTTCTGCGTACTGACTTCGCTTGCTTGCTTGATGCAGGGGAGCATGGCAAAACTGCTGACGCTGCTGCAGAACAAGGTGAGCTCATGCGCGTGTGCATGTGAATGTTCTGGTGTGTTGGTTGTTGGTGTTTGTGTGTACGCATTTCTTAGTTGTGGTTACACACACGCACACACACACACACACACACACACATGTGTCAGCGTGCACACTCACCGCCCTCATCCCACCCCTTGTTCAACGCCTTGTTGAAACCTGCTGTGTGTAGTGTGAGTTGAACGAGAATGCAACGTTCTTGGACTTGGGCCATGGCATGGGCCGCCCCAACTTCCACGCAGCCGCATTAACACCGCCAGTCAAGGCCAGGTATGCAGGGTTGTTGATGCAAAGAGCGCGTTTGTTTGTACACGTGCGTGCGTATGTGTGTGCGTGTGTGTGCGTGTGTGTGCAGATGTGCAATTGTGTGCGTATGTGTGAGGCTTCGTGTGAACGTAGCTGGGTGCATGTGGGTATGCATGACCGTGTTTGCATGTGATCATTTGCAGCCATATGCGCTCCAGCGTGCGCATCTGCTTTGGCTTCGGCGTTCATGTTGTTGCATGACGTTCTCTCGCTTTTGACTCCGTGTGGGCACCGATAACTCAACGTATGCTGGGCGACATCACCAAATCCCAGTGTTGGCACGGAGTACAATCCCCATCTGTACAAGCAATCCATGCTCGTGCTTCGCGAGCTGGCCCAGGAGGACCCCTCCTACCTTGTAAGTTGATGTTTGGAAAGCGCCTTGCTGTACTCGTGTTTCGCTTGGCGCCACTGGTACGATTTGAGACATGATGGTTCATGATGTTTGAGCCCTGACATGCATGTGTCCTTGTTTCTGTGTGTGTGTGTGTGTGTGTGTGTGTGTGTGTGTGTGTGTGTGTGTGTGTATTTCGTTTCACTAGGCCAACCCGCGTGTGTTCTTCATGGATCGGAACATCCGAGATCTCTCCAGCATTGTACCCTTTACGCACCTCTTCTGCTTCAACATTGGTAAGGGCGGAGCGTGCGCTTGCTGCTGTGCAGGCTATCCTTGAAGGTGAACACACGTGAGCAATCCCCACACTTCTCGACAAACACCAAACGCACACACACACTCTCCTTGCCAGGGATGCCGGATGACATTGTGCGCCACATCATGAAGCTCATTTCAGCCAGCACAACCCTCAAGTACAATCCGCAATGTTGTGTGTGTGCGTGTGTGTGTGTGTGTGTGCGTGCGTGTGTGCGTGTGTGCGTGTGTGTACGTGTGACCATTTCCGTGTTTGCCCAGCCGTTAACCAGGCAGTCAGCCATGTGCGCGTGCATGTTCATGTTGTGCACATCAACAGCCCACAGCGCCAAAAGCAACGTCTAACATCATGCCACTGCCATCTCCACTGGTGTTGTTTTCACCCTCTGTTTCTCAGGTATGCTGTGCTGTTTCCGCACAACTACGTGACGAGTGCGCGCATCAGTGCGCTTGGGGAGCGCGTGTGCTCCCTGCCCATGAGCATGCCTGGTGGCTGCAGTTATGAGGCCATTGTCATCAAGGTGCAAGCAGTGTGGGGCGTGCGAGAGTGCGAGAGTGCGAGAGTGTGTTTAGCATTAGCCTGGATTTGCGAGCGTGTGCGGGAGTGTACTTGGCGTGAGCTGTTGTGCTTCCTGAAGAGGGCGCGCTCCGACTGTCAGAGCTGATGCCCTTCCCGTGTCTTGTTCCGTGTTGCGTCGCTGTGCCCACAGACGCGTCAGGCCAAGGCAGGTGACGGCTTCACCAAGGGGGACCATGCCAGCAGTGCTGCAGCATCGTCTGTCGACACGCTGCCATCGCCGGCCGTCCTTGGCGAGGTCGAGCCCCGACTCCGCACCCACATCTCAGACGTGAGCTCAATGTGTTGGCGTGTGCGGTGTATGTGTGCGTGTGTGTGTGTGTGCATGTGTGTGTGTGTGTGCGTGCAAATGCATGTGTGTAGTGTGCACAGCACTTTTTCGCGTCGGTTTTGTTGAGTGCTAGGTGGCTGTAATGCTGCGTGTTATAAGTTTCATCGATGTTCCTCGTGCTGTGCCCAATGCCCGCGCGCTTACATTTTGCATGCCACGCCACACCACGTCACAGCGGGATGAGGATGTTGACTGCATCTTCCAGCTGCTGGCGGATCCACAGCTCTACTCCATTTATGTCCGCGACCTTGGCGCCGTTGGCGTACGTTGCTGTGTTGCCTGTTGCGATATGTGTATTCGTGTGTGTATTGTGTGTAAATTGTGTGTGCGCGCGTGTACGTGTACATGTACGTGTTTGTGTGTGTGTGTGCTTGCGTGTGTGCGTGCGAGTTTGAGTGTGTGTGCAAATGTGTGTGTGTTGTGTGTGTGTGCACTTGTGCGTTGATAAGAGCACATGCACGCTTTTGGTTGTTTCCCGCCATGCCTCACGTGATACCTGGGACGGTGCGTGCTGGTGTGTCAACATGATGTTAGGCGCTTGAGTTTGAAGAACGACAGCTTCGGTCCACACGCGCCAGCCGCCGCAGCTCCCACAACACCCGCTTCCTCGCCATGAGCCCTTGCCTTCCAGACATCCCTCTCGGGTGCGTACACAACTGTGTGTGCGTGTGTGTGTGTGTGCGTGCGTGTGTGCGTGTGTACGTGTGTGTGCGTGTGTGTACGTGTGTGTACGTGTGCTCTGTGCGCACCGCGAGTACGTTTTGTTGTCGCGTGCACGTTTTGTTGTCGCAACTGACTGCTTCGTTCTCCCGCGTTGGTCCTTTTCCCCCTCCTCTTCAGACTTCTTCGCCGCGTCTGTATTGCCCTCGGACTCTCCTCATCCGGAGAGAAGGTGCGTGCGTGCATGTGTGTGCAAGAGTGCGCGCGCGTGTGGCATTGGCCCTGCGCTTCTTTTCCTGTTTCGTGTCACGACCATCCTCCCCCCCCCCCCCAATGCTCTCATCCCCGCATCCCTCAAATGCACCCTCCTCACTATTCACGCTCTCTTCCACTCCTGCATGTCCCCGCCGTTTTGATGTCTTCCTTTGCAGGTCGATCTGCTGGCAAATGTGCAGGCATATGTGCCGGCGACCTTTGGCATCTCCATGTTTGCAACGGGCCAGCGCTACAGCTCCGACGACGTGGACCGTATCGTCTCCAAGGTGAGGAGGAGGAGGGAAGGAATGGATGGACAACGTCTTGGAGAATGACACGGGAAGGCGTGTGAAGGGGGGAGCGCGCGGAAGTGAGGGAAGCAGCTGGTATTGCTCTCATCGGTATGAAGACGTTGACACAGACTCACAAACCACATGCAGATAGATCCGCGCATTGGCACAAACACACACAGACACATGCACAGACACACCACAAATGCATCACAACACGCTCACGTTCCCCTTGCAAACGTCTGCCATAAATGCTAGCTGCTTGCCAAGGAGCCATCTCGCCGCCAACCCGAGCTTGCCTGAGCCCTCTGATGGTTGTGTCACTTCTTTCTGTGTGTCTGTCTCTCTCTCTCTCTGTCTCTCTGTCTCTCTCTCTGTCTCTCTCTGTCTGTCTCTGTCTGTCTGTCTCTCTCTCTCTCTCTCTCTCTCTCTCTCTCTCTCTCTCTCTCTCTCTCTCTCTCTCTCTCTCTCTCTCTCTCTCTCTCTCTCTCTCTTTGTTGATACTTCCGCGTGTGTGAGTGCGATGAGTGAGACTGCAAGACGAGGTGCAGGACAAGATGAGGAACCAGCCCAAAGAAAGTGCCAACACAGCACGCCAGCGAGTATTCGCAGGAAATCACGACCAATTTTCTCTCATGGTATTTGTTGATGAGTCATCGAACTCAACGGGCAGCCGCACCCTCCAACAAACCAACAACCAACCGCGCCGTCCTCCTCCATCTTGGCACGGACGCAGCGACCAATCGATCCGGCGGCAGGCAGACAGGCAGCTGTCGCTGGTCGTCAAACATAAACAAAGCGGCCCTTCCACAACTCTCTCGAAGAGGTGGGTGAAGAGCGCGCCTTCCCCCCCCGGAACACAGCCAACCAACCCAACAACAGCAGCAGGTAAGGAAGCCAGGATGGACGAAACAATTTGGTTCGAGACGTTCGAGGTGCAGCAGGCACAAGCGGCGACCAAAGCACCGCCATCCGCATCAACACCCAGCCATCACAACGACCAGCAACACCAACAGGAAGCGGTTTCGGAACAGAGCACAGCTGGCGTTGCCGTGCTTGATGTGAAAGTCGTGGATGCCGATGTCCTGCCACAGTCACAGAAAGCAGAACAAACAGAGAACGACGTGCAGAATGAAGTGCAGAATGAAGTGCAGCCACCACCCAACTTCCACGATACGAAGGATGACGGCAACGCAGAGAAAGAGGAGGAAGAAGATGATGATGAAGACGATGATGGCAACTGCAGCGTAATTATTCACGGCAGCGACAGCGGTGAGTGCGTGCCACGACGTTTTGCGTTTCGAGACATGTGTGCGTGTGAATGGGAGGGAAATGAAGTGGTATGTGTGAGTGTGTGAGTGTGAGAGACAGAGAGAATGTATGCGTGCGCGCGTGCGTGTGACAGACAGAGAGTGTGCGTGTGCGAGTGTGTGTGTGAATGTCTCTGTGTCTTTGTCTTTGTGTACCTGTGCGTTTTGCACGGCACGTTTGTGACCAAGCATCCTCACAGCAGCCACTGCGTGTGTGCATATGCATTGTGTTCAGAGGCGTGTGGGTCGACGTGGTATTGTCGCAGGCAAAGCCAGGCAGATCTGGGCGTGAGCGAAACGGAGGTTGAGCAATTAACCAACGAGTCAGATGTGTATGGCGACGAAGATGACGACGACGAAGACTACGATGACGACGACGCCACCCATCCCGGTCAGAAAACGCGCGCGTGTGTGTATGTGTGTGTGTGTGTGTGCGTGCGTACGTGTGTGTGTGTGTGCGTGTATGTGTGTATGTGTGTGTTGAAAGACTGTTGTTTGCTGGGGTGTGATGCGAACAGCACGCCTCGTGCGGTCATGTGTGCTTGGAGAGCCTCGTTTGCTCTGCCGTCTAACATGGAGTGCTCTCTGTTTATTTTGGTGCTGGTCAGCTGTTGGGTGTGGATTGTTCGCACTGTACGACCGTCGGCGGCCTGCGCAAGGCAACAACGACGCGCACGGGCGCGGCTCGGGAAAAGGCGACAAAGAAGACGACGGCAAAGGCTCTGCGCATCGCCATGGCGCACATAAGCGCGTGCACGTGGAGATTATGAAGGACCTGGCCAAGATTGGAGACAGCGTACGCACCTCTGCAAAGAAGGGGCAGTCCATGATCACACAGGTGTGTCAATCTGTGTGTACATTTATGTGTGTGTGCGTGTGTGTGTGTGTGTTGGTTAACTGTGCAGGTGGTCGGCCTTGTCGCATGTCCTTTTTCTTTCAAACAATGCAGGTGTGGCGAACTCGCTGCTCGCTTCTCACCATCTGCTTGGACGTGTGCAGATGACGGACTGGCTCTCATGTCTTCTCGGAAACGGCAAAGAGGAGGAAGATGCTGGCTTCGACATCAAGTTTGAGAAGGTGTGTGTGTGTGTGTGTGCGCGTGCATGTGTGTGTTGGCGTCACATTTTGCGATGCTTTTGCGATGCTGCTACGCTTGTGTGTTCCTGATACTTATTTCAATCACGTGCGTGTGTACTTTGCGTGACATCCCCTTCACAACAGATTAAGCACCTCAAGTTCATTGGCTCCGGTGCTCAAGGCTGCGTCTATCTTGGCACATACAAGGTATGACATGGCGTGACTTTGAATGCAGATGAGGCCATCTCGCGTGCGTGTGTACGTGCGTGTGTACGTGTGTACGTGTGTGCCGTCACATCTTCACGCATGTCCATGGCTGTGGCTCTGCCGAACTTCCCCTTCCACGTTTGCCATGCGCCTTTGCGTTGCTGTCACGCTGTCGTATTCACATGCAACACACACATACATACACACACATGCACGCACACACACACACACACACACACACACACACACACACACACACACACGCACACAGCATGAGGAGGTTGCGGTGAAGAAGATGAAGGAGTTGAGTATGACTGTCAAGGAGGAGAGTCTGTTGCGAACACTCAATCACGACAATATCATCCGCCTCATTGGCGTTTGCAAAACCGCGCCCGTCTACGCCGTCGTCATGGAGGTGCGTGCGTGCGTGCGTGTGTCTGTGTCTGTCTGTGCGTGCGTGCGTGCGTGTGTCTGTGTCTGTGTCTGTATGTGCGCAATTCAAACGTCATGCATGTCAAACATCATGCATGTCACTGCCATTATTGCACGGGATGAAACGTCCACTTCTCACACCATCCCCTTCCTCCTCGTTGACAGTACTGCCCGCAAAGCCTGTACGATGTGCTGCAGCGGCGCCACCTCCCGCCCGCCGGTGTCGTCAACTGGGCGTCACAGGTCGCACACGGCATGCAGTACCTCCACGGCAAAGGCATTGTCCACCGCGACCTCAAGGTGCCGCGCACTTGCACACGTGTGATGTGTGTGTGTGTGTGTGTGTGATGTGTGGCAAATGGTGGCGCTTGTTTTCGTTTGCTTTGGCTATTTCCTTCTCTTCCTCACTGCCGCAAACACACACATACACGCACGCATACACACAAACAACACACAAACAACACACAAACAACACACAAACAACACACAAACAACACACAAACAACACGCGTGTACAGTCGCCAAACATCCTGCTTGGGCAGGACAAGGCGACGCTCAAGATCTCGGACTTTGGCTGCTGCCGTGAATACCGGCACGGCAAGTCTGTCACCATGTCCTTCAGCGGCACCGCTGCTTGGATGGCACCAGAGATTATTCGGTGCGCACACATCAGGGGCGAAGCCGGGTGGCGAGAGAGAGAGAGAGAGTGTGTGTGTGTGTTGTTGTTGTTGTTGTTGTTGTTGCTTGTGCGTGTTGTGTTTTGGAATGGGCGGGGGTGTATGACTGTTACCTGCTGTGCAGCTTGTTTTGAGTGCGTGTGCGCGTGTGTGTATGCTTTGTTGTGTTGACGTTCGATGCTCATCCATCCACTCTTTGCCCCTGTACGTTTGCGGAATTTGCGGGTGTGTTGCCAGGTCCGAGAGCTGTACGGAGCACGTTGACGTGTGGAGTTACGGCGTTGTCCTGTGGGAACTGCTGACACGCGAGGTACCAATGGCAGCAGCCACTGCGCCAGCCACTTGACTTTAATTGCATGTACATGCAAACGAAAGGCTCCATCACCACACACACGACACACATGACACACAAACACACACACGACACGCATGACACACACACACACACACACATACACACACACACACGCACGCACGTCAGTGTCAGAGTGCTTCTCGGTTTCGACTACACATCTCATGCAATCACGTGTGCATCTGTATCAGGTTCCATACAAAGGCGTGGATGCGCACGCGATTGTGTGGGGCGTTGGCAACCAGCAGCTGCACCTCCCCGTGCCTGCAAGCACCCCCGATGGCCTGCGGCTCGTGCTGCAGCAGTGCTGGGACCAGACGCCCAAGAACCGCCCCTCGTTCACCATGATCCTGAAGATGTTGCACGTGCTGGCCACCACTGACGCGCAGTTTGCAGCCATGTCCGACTCTGACTTTGAGCAGACGCAGCGGGAGTGGCGTGAGGAGATTACAGCCAAGTTTGCGGCCATGAAGCAAATGGAGGAGCAGCGGCAGGTCTTGAGCGCAGACCTCGTCAGGTGCGTGTATGCGTTTGTATGTGCGTGTGCGTACGTGTGCGTACGTGTGCGTACGTGTGCGCGTCTGTATGCGTCTGTATGCGTGCGTGTGCGCGTGCGCGCGTGTGTGTGCGTCTGTGTGTGTGTGTGTGTGTGCGCGCGCGTGTGTGCGCGTCTGTGTGTGTGTGTGCGTGTTTGAGTATGTGTTTGTGTGTGTGTGTGTGTTTGTTTGTGTTTGTGTGTGCAATCACAAGTTGGTCGCATCTTGCTTCTCTCGGTCGTTTTCTCCTCTGTTCACTTGTTTGGCAACATCTGTTACGGTCTCAGTTCACATCACTCACCGTCACCCCCCCCCCAAACTCATTCTTGTTCTCCTGACTCGCCCATTCATGTGCCACCAACAGACAACGCACAGAAGAGCTGCATCATGCGCAGGAGATTCGCCAGTTGTACGAGCAACGCCTGGACGAGGTCCATCGCATCCTCCACCAGCTCAAGCTCAAGCGACGCAGGTGTGCGCGTGTGGTTTTGTGTGTATGTGTGTGTCGTGTATGTGTATGTGTGTTTGTGTCGTGTATGTGTATGTGTGTATGTGTGTGCGTGTGTGCGTGTGACTGCCATTGTGTTTGGCCGCTGCATGCAACCAGTCTCACATTCATCAATGTACGCGTACCCACACACACTCACGCCACCTTGTCTGTGCGCTACTGCTGCCAGGGAGAAAAGGCGTCGTGGTCGCCACTCCCGCTCTGCTTCTCGCGACTTCCGTCGCCCCCGCAAATCCCCGCAGCACCAGCACTCGCACTCCCGTGCTCCCTCCGACGCCGCCGTCAGCGTGGTGTGTGTGTGTGTGTGCGTATTTGTGTGTGCGTATTTCTGCGTGTGTATATTTCTGTGCCTGTGTGTATACATCTGTCTGTCTGAGTGTGTGTCTGTCTCTGTGTGACTAACTGACTTGACTCTTTCCATCTCTATGTCTCCATTTCTCGCCTTTTTGTCATTGTCATTGATCTGGTGTCGTCCTTGCTCACCCTCAATTGCTGGCCCACGTCGCACCATACACTGCACATTGCGCAGGAGACACTGCAGTGGTATTTGGAGCACGCGGCGGAAATGAGTGGCCACGACGACTCACTGTCACAAGCGTAATCCAACGCAGCAGCACACACAATCGTGCACGTACACATGCCCCGCTTCTCCCTCTCCCTCTGTAGTACTCCCTTGATTTCTCGCTGTATTGATTGATTGATTGATTGATTGATTGATTGATCCCTTCCTATTACCGACGCGACAGGCCAAGGTGCATTGCTTTGTTTGTACCGTCCATTGCCCCTTGTTCTGCGCTTTCGTTTTCGTGGTGGTGGTCCGTGTGGCATTTACACTGCGACTGTGGATGATGCTTCGACACGCACCTTGATTGGCTCAACGCCTGCACTGCCGTTTCCCCTATTCTGTTCCCTTTGGTTCTCCAAACCTTTGTCGAAACTTGCTCGCGTTATCGCTTTCTGATTGATGTCCTTCGCTTACAGACAGCTCTTGTTTCAGTTCGCCTAATTCTCCACTGTGTGGTCGTTATTCGCGTTAACAAGTCGTGTGAGGCTTTCGATTGTTTCTTGTTCGGCAAGGGGGCCTTCCACACTCCCGCTCTGCCTCTTCCTTCCTTTCTCTCTTGCTTCCCTGCATCTTCGCTTGTTACATGACATGATTTGACTACTGTCCAATGCTCGTGCCTTGTTAATGTAAATTGCTTCTCTTTTTTATTTCTGCTCTGACCACCCAGCTGTGGAAGTAAACACATTTCAACGGCCTTGACATTTGACGCGCAAATGTGTGCTTGTGCTTGTGCGAGTGTGTACGTGCGGGGCGTGAGCTCACATGGAAGTGCACAGCCCTTAAGTTTGAAGACGTGTTCTGATGATGTCACACACACACACACACACACACACACACGACAACGTGCCTTGCTTGTTTGGAGGCTGGTTCGTTCGTTCTATTGGTTTTGTTACACGCGCCCAATCAACAAGCGGGGAAGCGGTACAGCCGCTCACTCGACGCTCAAATACACCATTCAACACGCACGCACACACAAGAGAGCCATGAAAATGTTTACACAGGGCACACAAGGGGGACCAACGCAGGAGGTGCACAGGGAGGAGGGGAGGACTTTGTCAGGGGTAGTAACATTATACTGGCTGTTTCATGCACGTGCTGGCGACTCCCTGGCCGTTCAGATGGCCTCAAGACCCTTCATCGTGGCAATGCTGTTCCCTCGGATCACCTAGCAAAGCGGTGTGAAAGGTGATTGGGGGGGGGGGAGAACGGTGAGCAGCGATCATGGTTGCTGGAGCAAGCGTGTCACAGGGAGAGAGGAGAGAGAGAGCGAGAGAGAGAGAGAGAGAGAGAGAGAGAGAGAGAGAGAGAGAGAGAGAGAGAGAGAGAGACAGACAGAGAGAGAGTGTGTGTGTGTGTGTGCGTGTGAAAGGAGAAGGACAAAAGCAAACGAACAAAAACAGGAGAAGGATGTCGCCATCGCTTGAACGTTTGCCTCTAAACACAAAAGTCAGTAAGGCAAGCGCGGTTGACGCATGAAGCGTCATTCGCACGAACGGCATGTTGGTGTTGCACTACAATCTTCAAAGGACAGCATGGGTAGAGCTGGCAATTGTACACACAGAGTGCGTTGACAAAAGGAAGAACGGAACGGTGGGAAAAAAAAGGGCGAGGGGGAGAAGGAAGGAGATGTGTCGAGAGACGGAGACGTGGTGCAAGACTGCAAGACTGCAAACAGTATCGTGTGTTTTGCACACTCACGAAACACATACGGAAGCGCAACAGTGCAGTTCAGAGCTGGTGTCGACTTACCACAACACCAATCTTGACTTGCTCGCCATCTGGCTTGTGCTCCACTGTCTGATCCATCACAATGTTCCTGACACAAAAGAAGCAAAGCGAGTGAGGCGGTGAATGTGAGTGAATGTGAGTGTGAGAGTTGTGTGTGTGTGTTGGGGGCGGAGGAATTGTATGTCGTCATGCTCTCACTTTGGTGTGACACGCGCACATGCACCACACACACACACACACACACACATACATACACATGCACTCGCACAACTCACATGAAAGGGTCGAAGCCGCGCAGAATGCCGGAAACCTTTCTGTTGGCGTTAAGCTTCAGCTCGAGCTTCTTGTCCTGCGACCACAATCAAGGTGATTGGGAACAGTGAGATCAGTCGCACACACACATACGCAAACACATGCATTCAGGTAAATCACCACACCCACACCCACACACACACACATGCAAACACACCCACACACATGCGAACACACACACATGCAAACGTACAAGAAACCGCTTGAGCTCTGGGGCTTGTGGTCTTCCCACTGTTCAAAACCAAACAGCACAGCAAGCCAAAAGGAGGCACGCGCGCATCCAAGGAGTGAGTCGGTATTGTCATCGTAAGGTTGGAACAACACCAGCAGAGCACCACACCACACCAGCACACCACCACACCACCACACCACACACGCACTCACTGGTTGCTGGTCGTCGTGTTTATCGTTGATCGTTCGCGTGAATGTGCGACAACGCAGTGAGAGAGGAAAAATTGTGGATATCTTCCCATAACAACCAGATTATAGGAAAATATAGCAAATCATCGTCACCCATGCTTGCAAGCACAGGCGAATGTCATCATCATCATCATCAACATCATCCGTCACGCGGCGCAACCGCAACGGCAGCCACGACAGCGCAAGCAGCAGCAGTTGTTTGCGTGTTTGCTTCGCCCACGCCATCATCCTCCTCCTCTCCTTCTGCCAGGGGAAGCAATCAGCAGATCAACCTTTCTCTCTCTCTCTCTGTCTCCCTCTGTCTCCCCCTCCTCTGCCTCTCCCTCTCTCTGCCTCTCTCTCCCTCTCCCTCTCTCTCTCTCTTTTCAACCGTTTGCAATCGCAATCCACAAGTAAGGAGCAAGCCGCGCTGCACCGCCACAACCACATTGTAGGTCATGTGTACGACATGTCCGCCGCGCTGTCTCGACGTCTCTTTGTCTCAGCCACGATGCTTTGTTTCTCTGAATGGATGGTGGACATGCTTGTTCCGGTTGTTTTGGATTGCGTATTCAACAGTGTTGTTTTTGTGTGTTTGGTATGCTGCTGCTGTTTAACTTGTTCGCTCCTTTGCTAGTTGTGCGTTTGCCTTGGTTGTGCGTTTGCCTTTGCGAGTTTGCCTCTGCCTCCCCCCCCCCACAACGGCTTGCCTGGCGTTGCAGATGCCGTCTTTCCACCGCCATCAATCTTTTTTTTTTCTTGTTGTTTGTTGTTTGTGCTGCGCTGATGTTGAAACACAACATCCCCACCCAAACGTGCGAAACCTTCGGCGGCCCGCCTCCCTCGTGTTATTTTGCCTTCCTTGTATCCTTGTGCAATTGACTCTTTGTTCTCCTTTCAAGAGCCAACCAGCCAGCCATGCATCCAAACGCCAAACGCCAAACGCCAAACGCCAAACTGCGACAGCGCCAAACGCGCATGTGCAATCAACCTATTGCTGACACGCACCCCATACACGCCTTGCCAGGGTTGGTTCCATCACCTGCGTCGTCCTGTGGGCGGTCCAACCACACCTCGAGACACCGCGGCTGACTAACTTGCTCGCATTTCCCGTTGGCGCTACACCCGTTCTACATTTAGGTCCGCATTTGTTGTGCTTGGTGCGCGCGTGCTCTCGCCGCTACTTGTTGCACCATGCTTTTTCAAAGCACACACACACACACACACACACACACACACACACACACACACACACACACACACACACACACACACACACACACACACACACACACACCAAGGGACGCTCGTTTTCTTCACCCCCCTTAGCCGTCTTCAGAAAAGAAAAGAAAAATTATTTATTAAAGAAACGATCCAGGCGTGTCGTAGGTTGTGGTGGGCGTTATAAAAACTATAACATATTTCTTATAATTAATTATGATACGAAAGTAGTGAAGAACTCTGACGTATCTCGCTAGTGGAGGGATGTGAT